GGGGGGGTCGCTGGCACGTTCCAGTCACGCCCGCTTCCCGGCCCGCGGCCAATCAATACCACTTTCCTGTTTTAGAGGCGGGTAATTATGAGGTGGAGAGATTGTGTGACCTCTCACCCCTGCTGCATTACTCGCCTGATATTAAGATAAATTGCCTGATTTTGGGTAAACATATGCTGCAATTCAAACTGTCAGCACTGGTTTGCTCAGGGATAATTTGTATTGATCTCCTGGCTTCTTCCCCATTTTGCTTACTGACCTCATGGATAATTAGAGAAAAAGAGACACGGGGAGGTAAGGCAGGGCTTGCATTTGAATACTTTGCAGGAGAGATGAAGAGCACATGGGAGGGGGGCAGAGGGAACATTAGAGACTAATAGAATTTTCATTTTCTCTCATTTTCTGCTCAGATTTAGACAGGTTACATGTTTTGTTCAATTATATCGCTTATATCTTTTTTTTTTTTTTCCCCGCCTGCTTGTGTTACATACACAGAGAGGGCTGGCGGTTTAATTTCTGGGATGATTCAGATTTTACAAACGCAATGAGACAACAAAGTGACAGCAAATATGTTTCAAATTAAAGGGCCAATAAATAAAGGGAATTATCGCCATATGTGAGTAAAATTAACGTGATAAGTGACAAAAGAATGGACCCGCTGAGGAGCGTGCTTCTCCTTCGCGAAGGTTTGGAAGAACATTTTTTATGAATATTTCAGTAATTTTCTCTCTCTGGAGAGCGAATGATCATGTTTCAGAATATGAAGAAATGGAATGCATGACTCGGTGTGCAGCTGTGACCATATCATTTCCAATTTTGAATATCGCGCATGCGCACGGGCGTCCGTGGCAAGCCTTCAGTGGAATTCCTCTGCCTGGAATGTGCACTTCCCAATCTTATTTTGATCTGACGCCTTAATCTGCCGTCCTTTCATGCCACTAACACGTTTTCTCGGAGAGCTCCTTCAGCCGCCTCGGAACCGGCCACTTTACTTAAAATGTAGAGTGGATGGCGTGTACATGGCATCCGAGTGTGGTCTGCTGCTCCTTCTCCATGTTCTCTAGAAATAGGACATGAGTAACCGCTCTACAGGAACAGTGTAACATGGCCGACGCTGGCAGCCAGAAGTGCTTACATGGCAATACACCACTGTGTGCCCTCGGTCTATATGAAAGTGGATTGAACACATGTATTGACTTACAGTATCGGGGTATAAACATAGGGAAATGTTTGAGCAAAGCAGTAAATTTAAGGGAAATTGTTCCTTGTTAAGTCTATGAGCCTGAATGGAAGCTTGCACAGAGTACTAGCATTCCTGCCAGCCATTACAGCTTATTACGATAACTCTATCTTTCCAGGAGATAAAAACCTAGCCTTGTTGCCATTTGCCAGCTATTACTTTCGCTAATTATACTTAACTGCTTCGAGCTTATCTCCACTCCTCCTACACCATTGAGCAGTTATTTTTTTCTTTCCCCTTAACACAAATTAGAGGTGGAGTGGGAGTTGGAAAGGGGGAGACAGATAAACAGCACAGGCAGAAGTTCATTCAAGTGTTATTGCATTTGTGACTTGTCAAACAGTCTAACTGAAGCCTTCTAGGCACCTGCAGTCTGTTAGATGGATGCAGTTCACAACAGCATCAGCTCACATAATGACCTCCCCTTGCCGGCATTCAGCAGAGTCGACCGGAGTCGCGGAGAGAGCGAATATCTCCTCGGTGTTACTGCAAAGAGTTAAAACTGAATTCTGCACATACAAGGAAGGCAAGATACTCAGAAGTCATGCTGCCGCTGCTGTTCGGCGTAGACGTGTTCCAGGGTTGGAGAGAACAGAAAACATGCATGCAGATGTAGAGAACCATCTTTCAAAAAAAGAAAACAACCC